ATCTGTTAAATATGGCTGAAGTGCATTTATATATATTTTCTTCTCCTACTTATTATAACTTTCTCAAGTCCCATAAAGAGTTAACAGTCGTTCTGGCTCCCTCTTATGGCCGATTGAGGAAAACAGCAACCAATCACATTTACAGTATGATTTAAAGAAACGGGTACAAACCTTGTTATATGATTTATATATTGCCAACCCAACCGTTAGATTTTATTCCTAACACACGGTATATAAATTAATAAATAGTTCATTTTGAAGATTTTGAGGTATTATTTTGTGGCTTAACAAAACACAGTATTAACTGTTTTTTGTTTTTTTTTGGTACTCATTCTGCTGCTTCTTGGTGGGAGATCCTTGTGAGCTCCAGCAATCAGAATATATAGACTATTTAAGCCATGACAAAATCACATTGCTTGGAATGCACCACCAGAAGGCCAGTCTATACACAAGAGGGCAAGAATGTATATATGGTTTTTGTATAGATAGGCTACTTTGCCGGATTGCCATAATTTCATATTTCATCTAAATGTTCTTTTGCTTTGTAGCTGATTCCCAATTCTTGTGCCACACATGCACTGTTAAGTGTACTCCTGAATTGTAACAGTGTGGATCTGGGGCCAACGCTGAGCCGAATGAAAGAATTTACCAAAGGTTTTAGTCCAGAGGTATGAAGGATGTGTGTGTGTGTGTGTGTGTGTGTGTGTATGTTTATTGTAATTCTGGATTTTAAAGCACAATGAAAGGGCACCAAATTAGGAAAAGCTGGCTTTAAGTAATCCTGTTTGTAGACCTTACTTTGTCAGTATTACTCTTGAAAAAGAAGAGTTTGATGCCTTAAAGTTCAGAATTCTGAAATGAGGCTGCTAACTTGCTTGGAGAAATAAAAATAATATTGGAGTAAGTGATATTGCAGAGAATTGGTTCAATTTCTCAAAATAGAAGTGTACACAAAATTGTTTTAAAATTACCCTTACTTAACCTTGAGACAGCAGTGCTCATAGCCACATGATATGACTCAAATGAATTTTGTTCCTTGTCTGTAAAATAGAGTAAGAGATAGAGCATCTATTTAAGTCTACTAAAAGGAGGGCTATATGTGATCTTACAGAGTTTCCCATCATTTTTTTTCTTCCAACCTCCCAGAGCAAAGGCTACGCCATTGGGAATGCCCCAGAACTGGCCAAGGCCCATAACAGCCATGCTAGGTAAGTTGGATGAGGGCAGAATATGTGTTTGCTGCAATATAGACCTAGACTACATCTACACAGATTTCTTGTCTTTTTGAATTAGACCAGAACCGCGACATTTACCAGAAAAACAGAATGGAATTAGTGCTGTACGGACCATGGAGGCTTTTCATTTTGTCAGCTATGTTCCCATTAAAGGGCGGCTCTTTGAACTGGATGGCCTAAAGGTTTACCCTATTGATCATGGTAAGGAAACTTGGTTTAGCTTGCAAGGAGCAGTTGTTTGCTACAAGGAGTATAATAAAATTGTGCCAAGATTTTAACCATTTGAATTTCAAAATTAGAGTGTGAGGCAGTTGGTTTGAGTCTGAAATAGGCTATTTTGATCCTTAGCTAAAGTATTTTATAGTTAATACCAGGGCTGCTTCGAGCTTGCAATACTTTTGAAGTTGCTAAAATTGTCCATGTTGCATTCAAAATGAGACATTTTGAATTCAAGGTGGTTTGTTTTGAAACATTTTGCCCACCAGTGAAATATAGCAATATCCCAGTTGATGAACATACTGATTTGGGAAATAAATAGTTTAGATGGAAAATAAATAGGAATAGTTTAGATAGTGGAGAAGAGTGAATTGTAATTATTCTATTCTTAGGCAATGTTCTGTAACATATATTAGGCTTTATTTGCATTAGAGTGGAAAGTCGACAATTCTTTTGACTTTGTTTGTAGCATTAGAGAACATAGGACTGGAATGCAGATTAATATTTTATTTTATAATTTGAATATATTTATTTCAGTTTTCTCCTCTGAGAAGCATAAGGTGGATAGTAATGTTTAAAAGAAAAACTATCTGAACAATTTAATTCTATTAACATCAATAGAATTATGACTAAAATAATGTAACAACAGAGATATTTGTATCTTTATATATTTTATACAAATATATTTTGTATAAATATAGTTTCCCTTTTGGTAAAAGGGAATAATTTTAAATAATAAGGTTGAAATAATTTCCTTCAGGGTTTGGTTTTCTTTTATTAATTGTCTTTAAAGCAGTGCATATCTCAGATCAATAGCCAGATAACAAGAACCTTCTGTGCACTATGCAAGTCATTTTAACAAATTTATCTATTAGTAGAAACATTTGCCCTGTATATTTCTTTATTTGCCTTTTCTTTTATTTCCTTTTTCCAGGGCCCTGGGCAGAAGATGAGGAATGGACAGACAAAGCCAGGAGAGTTATCATGGAGAGGATTGGACTTGCTACAGCAGGGTGAATGAACAGATCAATGCATTTTAGATTTATGTGAACATTTTGAGAGGCGTACTTGAGAAGTGATTAAGTGTTTGGGGTATTTACTGAACAAAAATCTCTTTCGGTTTCTGAAAAGTTCTGCATTGCTTGCACAAGAATTGAAAATCAAGCATATTACAGGATTTATATATACTACAGACTAATAGATAGTTGACTTGAGAGTGACAGAAGAAGGGATTTTTGCCACAATTACTTAGACTTGAGATCCTTAATACTCACTGTTATTTCTCACAGGGAACCATATCATGACATCCGCTTTAACTTGATGGCTGTGGTACCCGACAGGAGAATGAAGTATGAATCTAAACTACACATCTTAAAGGTGAACCGGCAAACTGTACTGGAAGCTTTGCAGCAGGTAAGAAGGAAATAAAGAGAAGAGAAGATTAAAAGCCACATATCTTTTCTGATTATATCTAGCTTTTGAAAGAGACACAGTTGGTTCAAGGTTGAGGATCATCAAGCAGAGCAGAGTTCTGAGTGCAGAATGGCTTTTCCAGAAAGAAATTGGAAGAAGCTCACAGGCTGTGTCTGCTAATTGATACTTTTTTTTTAAAAATCTTTTTTCATTGTACTTTTTTCACCATGGTAACCTACTCTAGCTGCCTCTTCCTCTTCCCTTCTTATTCCTCCTTCTCCTCTTCTTTTTTTTTTTTTTTGCTTTTCAATGATTCTTAGATTGTGCCTAAGTAGCATTGCTTGTTTTTTGTCATAAATGGCCTATGATCTAGAAACATATTTTAACAACAAGAAGCCCAAATATTAGGAGCAGGCGTGAAAATGGAAGAGGCTTATGCTGGGTGAGTGGGTTATTTTGTACTTGCCTTTGAAATCAGAACTGCTTGGAAATATATTGAGTCAAAATCTTTAGTGTACTAAAGCTGCTTTTTGTCCAGAAACATTGATGGTTTATGGAAGGATCTTTGGAAGTGGCTATTTGTCATTAGTTAATTTTTATAATAGCTATTTATTGGTGGAGTGTTCTCTTTGTATTATTTTTTTATTGTGAGATAGTGGAGAAATAGCATTTTACAGTGAATGTTTTATTTTTCATTTTTGTAAGTTGCTCTTAGTTTCTGAGGATTTGACAACATGCACATTTAATCATAATCTCAGCTTCTTTTCCCATATATAATGAGTGTATCATTGGAAGCTGTGTTGATATATAAGGAAGCATGACTGTTTTCATTTTTCTGTTCTTTTGTGAATTTTACTGCCAATTTTTTCTATGTAAGCTCATCCGAGTGACTCAACCAGAACTGGTGCATACCCAGAAATCTCAAGAGCTCCAGACTCCTGAGGAGCCCAGGACAGCCAACAGCAAGAGCTCTACCCCACTGGAAACAGGAAGAACTCAAGTAATTCCAGAGAGCTCCCAGGCAGGTATGGAACACTGAATATTCAAAAATAAGATGGCTACTAGGAACATAGGTTTTATTTGAGCAATATGCATCCTGGGTTTGATTTAAAAGTATTCTTGAGCAACTCACAATCTATAGCTTGGGTTTTGGGAAATAAGGGAAATCGAGATTCTGTTGATGTCCAGGTATGATCCATGAATAAGGTTTTTGCATCCCAAAATCAATTATAAAGGAACAATTTGGTCAGTGTAATCTACTAAGCTTGTTCCCAAAGAAAGCATTGTGTGCCTGAACTTAATGCAATCGGGATTCTAATAGTTAGGCAGCTGTAGACAAGTGAGACATTTATTCCTTTGGGTGAAGGTATGGAGATTTAGAAAATGGTTAAGGTTCTCTGTGAAGATGGAAGTATTCCAGATATACTACCTGAAAGTGTGCAGCTTGAAAGTTAATGCAGGTGCATTTTGCAGAGGGTACTGAGGATTCCAGAGCCCAGGACTTGCCTGCCTCAACCCAGAGCCCTCCAAGCAAGGCAAAGCTGAGCAGCAAACCACATGTGAGCAGCATAAATGGGGCCCTATCAGCCCCCAACCCCATCGTGCAAAGGCTGCCGGCTTTCTTGGATAACCACAACTATGCTAAGTCACCTATGCAGGTGGGAATTTGGACAAAATGTTGTCTTTTCTACCTTATATGCCACATACTATATAAATTAAGCTTGTCTGGCTCTTTCCAGAGAAGATTGCTTTACTTGTTGGACAAGAATTCTTATTTTGTTCTGTTTTATCTTGGATGTTTTTATCATTAAATAGCTGGGAATCATTTTTTAACCTAGCAATATGTAGTGCATTAAATACATGTAGTACCGTATTTTTCAGAGTATAAGACACACCTTTTTCCCTCAAAAAAGAGGCTGAAAATCTGGATAGGTCTTATACACTGAATACAGCATTTTTTGCCTCCCGAAACCTTGCCCCCTTCACCAAAATGGCTGTGCATAGCCTTTAGGAGGCTTTCAGAGTGTTCCGGGGGGCTGGGGGGGGGCAGAAATGAGGGGGAAAAAAGGCTGTTTTTTGCTCAATTTTGCCCCCCCCCCAGCCCCCAGGAGCACTCTATAAGCCTCCTAAAGGCTATGCATGCCCTTTTATTGACAAAAAACAGCCCGTTTTTGTGAAAAATGGGTCATTTTTTTGCTTGTTTTTGGCTTCCCCACCCCCCAAGGAGCACTCTACAAGCCCCCTACAGGCTATTCATGCCCATTTTGTGGGGGCGGGGGGGAAACGGCCCAGTTTTTGTGAAAAACAGGCTGTTTTTGGGAGGTCTGCAGAGTGCAAAAACTTTTTTTTATTTGCCTCTTCAAAATCTTGATGCGTCTTATACTCCGAAAAATACAGTATGTTGAATTTCTACTCACCTATCTCTTTATTAAATTTACATGCTTCACTGCTTCACTGTCAAATGACCATGGGTGGCTTACAACATCATAAAAACTGCAATATAAAAGAATTAAAATATAGCATTGAAAACATCTAACATTAAAATTTAACAGTTATAGTTTTATTTGATGAATTTTTGATTAACAGTGCCTATGTATTGTATACTCTTGCAGCATATCTTTTATTAAAAAGAGCTATAACCTTTGAAAGACTCTCATGTTCATAGTTCTTCTGCTGTTGAAAAGAACTAGATGTTGATGATGGTTTGGAATTTAGCTGCTTCAAAATCTCACACACAAAATATTTTTTTTATAATAAAATGCGAAATGAATCTTCCCTTGAGAAGAGAAGGACAGAGGGAAGAAAGGAGGTAGGCAGGGGGAGGAGAGAGAGAGAGAAGAAAGTGATGGATAAAGTATAAATATGGTGTATGGAGAGCAGAAGAGCCAATAAATGGTTTTTGGGAGTTGTTGATAAGATGAATTGATGTAAACATGTAATAATACAATATGATATTGGTTATGTAATAGTATTCATGTGATTAAATGTTATGAAAATGGAGAAATAAACTTTAATCAAAAAATGAATCTTCCCACCAAACAGTATTCTTGGTATGCCATGCAAACCAGTGCATCTTGTGTTTCCCTGAAAACGCAGTTAAATGTAGCCATCTCACCTTTCTGCTTCTTTCATGAATGCAGTTTAATATTTGAAAACTTTTCCAATGAAGAAAAAGGACTTGAAGGAATAACTGCTATCTTGCATATGGTATTCAATGTATAATCCTTCTCGAGTTGAATAAAAATGGCAAAAGTGACTGCTATTTGTTTAATGGAAGGTCCATTGTCAAGAAACTTCCTGGGATATTATACAAAAAGCCCAAAGGTACTTTTCAAAAGGCAACTGGACTTTATTGGTTTTTTTCCTTGAAAATATTTCACTTCTCATACAAAAAGTTGGATGATTGAGATATAGACATTTACAAAAAGCCACATTGCTTTATACCCTTTCTATTTAGCAAATAAGAGAGATTAAATTATTTTGGATATATCTGCATACATACCTGGAAGGATTTTCATAGTGTGCACCATTGTTTTCTTTCTCTAATTCAGACTTGTATTTTGGTGAGTTCCAAATACCATTGAAGCAGGAGAAATACTGTATTTTTCGGAATATAAGACACCTTTTTTCCTCTAAAAAGAGGCTGAAAAACTGGGTGCGTCTTATACATCGAATACAGCATTTTTTTGCCTCCCGAAACCCCGTCCCCTTCACCAAAATGGCCGAGCAAAGCCTTATGGAGGCTTTCAGACAGTTCCTGGGGGCTGGGGAGGGCAGAAATGAGCAAACAACGGGTCGTTTTTTGGCCCCTCGAGCCTCCAGCAGCACTCTATAAACCTCCATAAGGCTATGCATGCAATTTTTTTTGACAAAAAAGGCCCGTTTTTGCGAAAAATGGCCTTTTTTTTGCTCGTTTTTGGCCCCTCACCCCAGGAGCATTCTGCAAGCCCCCCCCAAGACTATTCATGCCTTTAAAAAAACAACAACCCAGGCCCGTTTTCGCAAAAAATGGGCCGTTTTGGGGAAGTTTGCAGAGTGCAAAAACGTTTTTTCCCCTTTGGGAAAGCTGTTTGATTAGAGTGGTTGATGAGTGGTATTTCTCTCTCTCTCTAATTTTCTCTCTCTATCCCTCGACCTATCAACCTGTCTTTCTCTCTCTCTCCCTACCTATCTACTGTATTTCACTCTCTATTCCTTTCTATCCCTCTCCCTACCTACCCACTGTATTTCTCTCTCTCTATTTCTCTCTCTCTCTCTCCCCCCCTTTATCTACCTCCCTCCCTCCCTACCTAACTACTCCCTACCTACCTACCTACCTACCTACCAACCTACCTACCTACCTACCTACTTTTTTTAAAAAATTGCCTCTTTAAAACTTGGGTGTCTTATGCTCTGAAAAATACGGTAGTTATTTCTTCAAGTACTTTTGTTTTTAAAGATCGACTTTGAAGGACCAGAGACCTTCTTAGATACTAACATTACCTGAAGACATCTGGATGACTGTATTTCAGGAGGAAGAGGACCTTGCAGCAGGAGTGGGCCGAAGCCGAGTCCCAGTCCCGCAGCACCAGCAATACTCTGATGATGAGGATGACTATGATGATGACGAGGATGAGGAAGTGTGTAATACCAATCCTGCCATCAGGTAATGGCCTTATGGTGTCCAGTAGTTACTCAGCCTGCTGTTGCACTTTTGTCAAATTCGAGAGATCCTCGCTTCTAGTTCTTGAAAAGTATTCTAGCTATATTATAGTTGTACTATATAGGGCTGCATTAGAAAGAAAGCTGTTATGTGTTATGCGGGAGGGGCCACCAATGGGATATCATCACATCCTGATTGGTCCAGAGACTGAATGCAATTCTTCGCCATGCCTCTTCCTTCCCTTGGCTCCAGTTTTCCTCTCAGTCTTTGGTCCAAGCAGACTAAAATTTCTTGGCTCCTGCTAATGAGGGAAATAAGTGTTTAAATTTGACTAATTGGTTTTTCTAAAATTTCTAAATTGCTTGTGAGCTGCTGGCTGCGATACGCAGCAAGGTTTATGTAGGTTGGTATATTTGTATACCATCAGTTTTGAGAGCTATATATGTATTAGAAGCAAGGAACTGTCCATTGTCTAATCTGGAAAATGTTAAAAGTACAATTGCATGATTTTTTTAAAACAAATCCATGAGAATTTGACATATATCTGGAAAGAGAAATAGCAGTAGATGTTCAAATTGGGAATATTGAATGATATTTGTGGACTGTTTTCATAATGGGATGTTTGATCTTCAGATATTAGAAAAAAGCAGAGAAAAACTATTTTAGCAAAGTGGTAATTGTAAAAACATAAATGAAATGACAGAAATGTAATGTGTATAAATACTGCAACGCTACAATAACATATCTTAATGCCATATATGTATTTTGCCTTTTTAAAATTAAGATTGATATATAATGGATGTAATGTAAACCTTTCCTCTCATTTTGATTGCTACTGGTGAATATAACCTTCTCAGCTTAATTCCCTGCTTCCTCCTCCCTCTGGCTTTGGACAGTTACAAGAGGAAGGGCCTTGTGAAACAGGAGCACCTGATGGGGAGCGGAGACACCCAGCTGTCTATGCTGCAGCCCAACACCATCAATGTCCTTGCGGAAAAGCTGAAGGAAACTCAGAAGGACCTCTCCATTCCCTTGTCTATTAAGACTAGCAGTGGAGGCACAGCAGTAGCTGTTGTTGCCCACTCTCAACCATCTCCCACACCCAGCAATGAAAGCACAGACACTGCCTCAGAGATTGGGAGTGCCTTCAATTCCCCTCTTCGCTCCCCCATCCGATCAGCCAATCCTACTCGCCCTTCCAGTCCTGTCACTTCTCATATCTCCAAGGTGCTGTTTGGGGAAGAAGAGAGCCTGCTCCGTGTAGACTGTATACGCTACAATCGGGCTGTGAGAGATTTGGGTCCCATCATCAGTACGGGTTTGTTGCACCTCACAGAGGAGGGAGTTTTCTGCCCTCTTACTGTCACAGGTATGGTTCAAGAGAAAACAATAGTTAACTCTTTTCTTACTCTTCTGTGGGTCCTCTGCTTGCTGGGCAGTTGAGGGGTGTGTTTGGAGGACTCTTGTGATTTGCAGGAGGAACAGTAACAAATGTGGAGGGGCTTTTTGGATTCCAAGGTTTTTTTTGGCAACCTCCTAATTTGCAACTTTAAACAGGCAATGAAAGGCCTGTGCTGTTCGTACTCAAAAGGGTGTGTAGCAAAAAAACAATCAGGACAGTAGGTAAGATGAGCATCATATTATATTTGTTGCATTGTCTTTGGGCCTAGTAAAGGACTCAACTAGGATAATGTCATTTTGGAGGACTTGCTCAATTTCCGGCAAGTGATTGCTCAACTATATTTCAACCATTATTTATGTATAGGCAAGTTTCTTGGACAGACATTTTGTGAATGTATTTATAGCCTGTTTGCAATATTACGGACAGTGGCTCAGTGGCTAAACTGAGCTTGTCGATTAGAAAGGTCAGCAGTTCGGTGGTTAGAATCCCTAGCATCGTGTAACGGAGTGAGCACCCGTTACTTGTCTCAGCTTCTGCCAACCTAGCATTGTATTGTATTGTATTGTATTGTATTTAATGGATTTATAGGCCGCCCAATCCGGGAGGACTCCGGGCGGCTTACAGAAAAGAAGAAAATTATCAAAAAAATAAAGAATTAAAAAAGACAAAGAAAACAGTTTAAAAAATCACCATGCACCCAATCTGATTGGGGCTGGACCTCAGTAATGAGGTCAACAGCCCCAGGCCTGCCGGAATAGCCAGGTTTTAACAGCCTTTCGGAAGGCCATGAGAGTGGGTCGGGTCCGGATCGCTGGGGGATCCAGTGCGAAAGCATATAAAAATGCAAGTAGAAAAATGGGAAGGTAACAGCGTTCTGTGTGCATTTGGTGCTTAGTTATGCCGGTCACATGACCATGGAGACGTCTTCGGACGCTCTGGCTCTTTGGCTTTGAAACGGAGATGAGAACACCACCCCGTAGAGTCAGTAACGACTAGCACGTATGTGCGAGGGGAACCTTGCAATATTCCCAACATGCCCAAGATTCAAAAAATGTTTGCATTTCTGGTCTAAATCATGCATCGCCTGTTGGTAAGATAACAAGATAGGACCATTTTTCATTGTGCTTCCAAGATTTATAGAATCATGCATATAGAATTCAATGGATAAACTCATTGGAGAAAATTTCCCTTGCCTCTGAGTTTTTGTGAATAATGTAGAAGGCACATAATTATGAACAATCCTGACAGAAAAATTCAGTTTGTGCTCTGAATGGGAGCTCCTTCTCTGCTGAGTCACCTACTTTTCTAACATTGGTTTATAAATGAAATGTTGTTTTTGTTACGGGCTTCTGGGCTAAGAACATGCATTTGTTCGGCTTAGAAAGAAAATACCATTATTTATTCCTCCACAGTATTCAAAATGTAAAAGAAGATAACACTGTGTTTAATAATTCCTCTTTTTGTCTTCCCAGAGGGTACAAAAACCTCTCCTCCATCTAACAAATCGAATGAAGAGGTTCAGATTATTGTAAAAGCAGAAGCAGTGGACTCTACTGAGCCACGTGACAGCAAGGAGAAGACTGGAATTGGCAAGTCTACTGATCCCCCTGCTGGGGAAAAATATGTTCCTAAAGTAAGTTACTTTTGACTTAAAGCAATTCTGTGATAGCCGGAAATACTTTTGGGTGCTATTTGCCTAGATTTGGTTGCATTGGCTGGACCTTGCTCATTCATATGTGACACTAAACTTGACAGGAATCTGCTTTTTCTTGAGTCTTATCTGAACCTCATAGAAATTGCATGGAAAGGGGACTGTTTTGGCAGAGGGATAAAGTCATTACTTATCAGTCCGGTCACGTCATTGTAAAATATAATTGTAGCTACTATAGATGTTTTTAAAAAAACAGCTGCCTCTCCTCTGGGTTCGGTGCTTGAGTCATGCAGAGAGAAAGAAGGGAAGTCGAGATGTCTTTATGCTTTTGCCAGTGCTATAGAGATGAGGCTTGCGCACCCCCGGCTAATCCCATGTTCTTCTAATGCTACCCCTATGCAGAAAAGATTCTGAATGCAGTTGACTAGGCATCTTTTAAAAACAATACAATAAGAATGACAAAGCACAGTACCAAGAAACCGGAATTATAGTGATAGCTCTTTCAACAAAAATTAAGAATGGAGAAAATGCTGTTTTTTTTTTTGTTGTTGTTGTTGTTGTAAAATGTGTTTTTTATTTTCCATTTTTGATTTTCATACAGTCACATATATACTGTGCATAACCGGGGCCATACAGCATAATGCTGTTCTTGACATAGTTTTTTCCCCCTTTTCTTCAAGACATATCATTCTAGTGATATGCATACTGAGAAAAGTGCCAATAGAAAATTTGAAATGGCATCAAGATAAGTTTATTTTTGCTGCAAGAACTTTTAGGCACTATTTAATTTATGCTTGCATCAAGGTAGTTTAAAATGATTTTTTTTCTCCTTTAATTTCCCAAGTTGTGTTACTTTATTTATTGACTGTGGTTGTTCCCTGTTGGGTGCTTTGGGATTGTAGAAGCTTTTTTATTTAAAAAATTAGATTAGAGAATGATCTACTCTTAGAATAAAGCTATACTGAAATATTGCTAGTGCTTTAAGCTGATTATGAAGTACTGCTGTGCCATTAGCATTAGTGAGTCATTCTGCTTATACTGCTACTGTTTTGTTTTGACAGGAGCTCCTGGCATTGCTTAAGTGTGTGGAGGCTGAAATTGCAAACTATGAGGCCTGTTTAAAGGAGGAAGTAGAGAAAAGAAAGAAATTCAAGGTAACTAATAGAGAATATTGTGTTGTTATTTTTGTTATTTTTTTTTATAGTCATCTGTTATAGACTCTTGGTGGCTTACAAATATAAATACCAAACAATAAAACTGTTAATATTTGATAATTATTCTCTCAGATTGAATTCACTCAGATTAAATTTGAGTTCTGGATGGGTACATAAACAAATCCATGTAGTTTTCATAGAAGTAATTCACTTTTCCAGGATATGTTTTTTACTATATGTTTCCTATTCAAGTTCCAGGCAGATCTGAGCCTGCTCAGGCCTGTTCAATTCTAGTCAAATTGTAGATTCAGTTGAAGATTATGTCTCAGTATATTGGCCTAATATTCTGATATGAAAACAGATTAGATGTAAGTCTTTGTCCAGCAAAGTCTGAATTACTGTGTTTTCTTTTTAGCCTTACTAAGTATGGATTACAACATTTAAGCTTCTTACCTGAAGCTGGAAATCCCATTGTCTTCCAATTACACACGGGTCAACATTTTGAGAACACGAAGAGGTTTTTTGGCCTTTTTGGTTTAGTTTACTATTGAATGCTATAGAATATTTTTAATGGTCTTGAGTCTTGTTTACTAGCCATAAGATAAGTGTTGGCATTCCCCCCCCCTCTTATTTGTTTCAATAGTGATGTTGAACAGATACTTTTTTCCCCTTTTTCTAACTTTCTTAGATTGATGATCAGAGAAGAACTCACAATTATGATGAATTTATATGTACTTTTATCTCCATGTTGGCACAAGAAGGTGAGATGAATTTGATTGAAAGAGCTTTTCTTTGCACTGTGTTAGAAAAGGATAAATTCAGAGGTTGATAAACCGCAAAAAACAGCAACCTTTTGCTCCCAATCAGAGGTAGATTTATTTTTCTAGCACAAATAGCAACATGAAGAGTATTTATAATCTGTCTTTCCCACTTATAGGTGTTCTTAAATCCTGATGTTTTGCTAAATTCCAAATAATAGTGATAGTTGTAACATATAGTGTTGAAAGTTTGAAACTATCATACTAAAACACAGTAGTAATTAGATAGGCCCAGGCTAAAAGAGTTTGTGATCTGGATTCTTAATTGTTATCTTTTTCTCTAGTTTCTATAGTCATTTATAAAAATGAGTGAACATTTAGTATTTTCTATTGAGTCCAAAATACATAAGATATGTTTTAAGATTTTGGAAGGATTAATTTCATCATTTAAAAAACCATTTGCTAGTTATTTACAAGGATTTATCTGTGTTTGTTATTCAAAATATGTTCATCTATTTCCTGTTCAGGCTTTAACTAATAGGAAATTTTGGAGGTAGTAATATAGCATCAATACTAGAGAATCAGACAAATGCTTAAGTTAAATACACTGTAAAAGGCATTCAGAGATCAATCAGTTCAGTTTTAGTGATAATGATAAAATAATAATTTACCCTATAAAATGTTCCGTTAACTGTTCTTAAATGAGGACTATCAGTAGAGCAAGATTTTCATGAATAATCCAAATGAAACTATCTTACAAGTCAACACTTTTTTAAAAAAACAGCTTGTAAGTGAGATTTTGATCAGTCTTGTGAGTAATATATATTTTGATTGGTCAATACAATAATTTTCCCACCTACTTCTATTAAAATCTAAATCCAAATATGTATGGTTAGGATTCTGGCTATCATACATTGTGATTTCCAATTTATCTGGAACCTTTTATATCTGTAAATGTGATGAATCTTAAACTAGTTAGCCTTCTTCACTGGTATAACTTTTCCCAGATATTTATTGCTAACTAAAAGGAAAAGTCCATATAAGGAAGAAAGAAAGAAAGAATCTTTTGGCATTTCAAAATTAATATTTATTAAGACATAACCATTAGAGAATTTGAGCTGAGAAAGGTTTATTCCATAAAAGTTTAATGCCACAATAAATCTGGTTAAGCAGCCATATGATCCCTTTTTGTGTTTCCATAACAGGAATGCAATCTTCTGGACTTCTATATTTTAAAATGTTGAAAGGGAAGCAAGATTTGCTTCTATTTGGCTAATCTTACACACTATCATCTTGCAGGAATGTTGCCTAGCCTTGTTGAACAAAACATCTCTGTTCGTAGACGGCAAGGGGTCAGCATTGGGCGTCTCCATAAGCAGCGAAAGCCCGACCGACGGAAACGTTCCAGGCCATATAAAGCTAAACGTCAATAGTCTCAACCTTTGGACAGGACTCAATATCCTCTGCTTGCCTCTCTGGCAATACGGTGCATATTTCATGTACTTCTTCACCAACCAGAGAGCGCTCCGGACAGAGCTTTGCACTGAAATTGTCTTCATGTGACCAGTATTAGTGTGACTACATCTACCTGTATTCAACTGGATTTTAGACATTGCTCCGGTGGTTTACCATTTGGGCATCCAAAGATAAAGTTTCCCTCCAGAAGTGGATGTGAGAAGCATAAAGAGTAGGACCATTTGAGTGTTTGGCTGACACTGCACTTGAATATGTTACTTAGCAACCTAAACCAATATGCAGTGCATCTTGCAGTAGCAAACGGCAGTCTTCAGAGGTTTTACATGAATATTGCTTAAAAAGAAATAAGTAAAATCTTTGCAGTTTTGTAGAAGTGCATTTCGGTTAAGTTGATGCATTGTTCAGTTCAGAGAGAGTCAGAATGTGCTATGTCCTCGGGATTAGCTATTTCCAGAGGAACAAATATCTGCATTACATCTTTAAGTGTGTGTTTCCTGAATCCAGTTCATCCCTATCATTTTCAGGTAGCAATGACCCTCATTCTGTTGAACTATACATAAGGCTCCCTTCAAATCCCAACTGGTCTTCAAATCCCGCTAATTTTTCTCTTGATTTCCCCTACCCCCAAACTGGTGCTGTCGCAGAGAAGAGAACTACCTTTATGGGTTTTATATGTCCAGAGTAAGGTCCTTTTGATGTGAGTGTATTTTTGTTCATCTGTAACAGCATGTAGTCTGGAAGCTGCTTTCTTTTCTTTTGTATGTATGGAAGCTATGCACATACCATGATTCAAATCGTGGAATTAACTTATTTTTTTTTATATTTTCTTTGGCAGTGGCTTCTTTTTACTCAAATCCCTAAAACCATTTTTAGGAAATCAAACCATGTGTGGAGAGACAAGGTGGCTGGGTGATACAAATTGCCAAATGAAAATACTGAAAGATACACACACATACACCATCCTTTTTTTATAGTGAACTATTAGGACCAACATTTTGAGAGAGATCAGGATAAACCCCTTCAATGGGGATACGAATCATTGTTTGGGTTGTTTCTTTCATGCTTACACTTCAGGGGAAAATGGAAAGATTCTATAGCAAAATAATCCCTCTACTTAATGTAATCTTACAGTCAAGAAGTAGAATAGTGAACTTCGCAGGTATCTTATGGTGTAAGGATAAGGGAAATATAGCTCATTTGAAAGCTTGGAAAGGTGGAGAACCTCTGCAAACTGTAGGTCCTCTGACAAGATAGGACATAAAGTAATACTTTTGCATCACTGAGTAAATGGTATCCCTTTCCTATTGATTATGGCTCAGGTTGGAGCATCTGGCTTATTCTGCAAGAGTATAGATGATATTTGGCCAGCAGGATCTGGTTATCATCTGCCTTTGTCTTCCAGAGCTGCCTCAGCACCTCTCATTCCAGTCCATTTACAGACTCTTAATTGCAGTGTAATCAGTTACCTACCTAGCCACTCCTAAGACAAGTGTTGTTACCAGCTTCTCCTTATTTACGTGGCTTTATCTTTGTCCTGTAAGAACAGTCCTTTGTCAATACGGCAGATTTATAAATGTTTTTAAGCTTTGGCAGAATGATAGCAAATTTGCATTAAATTATGCTAGCTGATGTCCAGAGGAATATTGCAAATTGTTTTTGGAAGAACAGTTTAACGCTTCCTCTGCAACTTTTATTCCATGAATATGTACAGTTGAGTCTCTTAGTATAGATATTAAAATCATCATGAGACTCAAAAGAAGATCAATGTGAAAAGGGAATAGTTCCTGAGAAGATGGTGAAATATATTTGCTTTCTTTGCAAATATGTACAGTGCCTGACTGTAAAATTACTATTTTTTATTTGTTGACAGAATCACCTGTCTCTTGCATTGTCAAGTGCTGTAAATATATCAGTTCTGTTAAAAATAAAATGTATCTCTAGCCTTCTGGAGATGGCTGTATAATGGAATCTGTATACCAGAAAAGATGCACAGATAGCTCTGTAGCAAACTGGAATTTGGGGTAACATTTCTGAATAAGAAATTACCTTCAGTGTGAAAATCTTAACAGCACAAAACTATGCGAGGAGTGATGTTTGAACTACTGCTGAATTTGGGATTGGCTAGTCTATACACCTGAGAAAACATTACACCATGCTGTATGTCAACCTTGTGTACTTTAATTGCAGTACCTAATTTTGTAATATTTGGGATCCTGCTATGGAGACTGGAAATAATTTGGCCAAGAACATACTAGATCTCTGTGATCTATGGTGGCCAAGGGTGGGCTTCAAAAATTTTAGCAAGGGGTTCTCTGCCTGATTGCTGGGTGAGCGTAGCCATGGGGGCGTTTTTGCCCTCCCTGGGCTCCGGAGGCTTTCCTCGAGCTTCCAGGAGGGTGAAAACAGCCTCCCCAAGTTCTGGAGGCCCTCTGGAGGCTGGAAATAGACTCGTTTCTGGCCTTCCCAAACTTCTGGTAGGCCAGTTTTTCTCCCTCCCCGAGCCTCCATGCGTGCCCTACACTTACCTGCATCCAAAATGGATTCCTGGGAGGGGAGGGGTGGGCGGGGCCAGCCAGGAGTGGGATTTGGGGGTTCTCCAAACTGCACAGAATCTTAGCTAGAGGTTCTCCCGAATCTCTGTGAACCCCCAGCAGCCCACCCCTGATGGTGGCTTAAACGTAACACAAACATATTTTTTTTTTATTATTATACACCTTAATTGTGTATAATGTGTACTTATTTTTTTCCTTGTAGTTAATTGCAATTTATAGGCTACATTAAAAAAAGAACTGAATGGGGTATATTAAGAAAACAGCACCATACAGTCATTTATGAAATTTTTAAAAAATGATTTTAATGTAAATTTAAATTAAATGAAAAGATACACATTATATTTATTTAAGTCAGTTCTGTGGTTCCTTCAATTCAAGCTTCAAGATATGAATCCAGTCTTAAACAACATGTAAACAACTTCCAAATTATTCTGCTTTATTGGACTGCTCTTTTATTGTTAATGCCTAGAAGTCCAAGGCGCAGATCAAGGCAACTCCCCGTTTAATCCAGTGCCTCTGAGATTTACTGGTAGGTATTTCTACAGCAATCACATAATTAGTTGAATGACCTGTTGTTGATAGTGTCCCTGGCAAAGAGAAAATTAAAATTAATGCTGTATTGTAACATGGGGAGGGCTTCTTTTGCCTTTGATGTTAAAATGTGATTAAGAACAATCCCATATTTTACATTTCAAAAGTTTTCTTGTTGGTGTTTGGAGGCCTGTACTTGAAGACAATGTTTCACTCATAGTTAGAAGGCCTCATAGGCTCTTCCCAGTTGTTCCTGCTTTGAACCTGATTGAGACTCATCCCCTTCTTTCATTACTCTTTACTTACCTTGGAAAAAAAAAAAAATTTGATTTTTCTTCTGGTGGTCCCTGCAAAAGGATGAATTATGGACCCATTCCAAAATGAACATTTTTAACCACATCAGACTATCAAAGCCAGCACAAAAATGCCAGTTGGTAACATTCTGGCCTCAGTGCCAATATAGTGTGGCCTGGTAAGGAAAAACCAGCAAGCATATCCATTGGACCTGGTTAAATGCATCCAGAAGAGGATTTTTCTTCCCAGGATTCCTAGATAGTGAAATGCAGTCAGGTTCACTGGTCCAAATGAGCTTATCAAATGGATGTCATTCCCTATCCTGTCCAAAGCACATCATTCTTGCTATCTCAAGTAGGATAGACAATTCTGAATAGGAAAACCTAACTATATTTAGGTACCATTTTCACATATGCCTTCTGGCCACCAGGGGGCCTTTCGTTGGCAGAACACTCGGGCTGCCACAGGCGTCCCTGACATGAGTGACATCAAGCAGGCCATGCCCTCTGGCCACCCCTCCACCCCCGAGGTCAAACACAATCCTGATGTAGCCCTCAATGAAATAAGAGTTTGACACCCTTGCTCTAGAATAAACTTGATGGATGCTAGCCTTTGATCAGTGCCTTGGTTACTCAGTTCAAAGAAATAAATCCAATTATCAAATCTCTTCAAAGTACATTGACTTCAGCTCTGACTGAAGAAGCTTCTCAGATGAGAAATGAAGAGCCTTCAAAGAAAAAACAAGGAAGTCCAGCTGCCTCTTGAAAAAGCACCTTTGGGACATTCCACCTAATCTTCAAATGTGCATAAATGCATAAAAGAAGCATTACAGTGAAGAATCCATTTACCACCTGAAGGAAAAGATCCCAATCTCTCCACTAGAGGACTCTATAGCTTCTGATACAAGACAGTCTTGTCTTTTTACAGTTTAGTACCTCAAGAGAACTCTGAATATGCATTTTGCAACTTCCTCAAGAAATGCATCTGAGGTGGGAAACAGCCTGTACCATGCATAATTGTGAAATTTTGAGTGTTTTATGTGCCTTGGAGTCAGTGTTGCATCCTAGCAACTTCCTGGAGTAGTCCCTGCAGTTTTCTTGACAAAATTTCAGAAGTGGCTTGCCATTGCTTTCATTCCAGCACTCAGAGAGATTGACTGGCTCAAAGTCTTCCAGATGGTTTTATGCCTAAGGTAGGACTAGAACTCAAAGTTTCCTGATTTCTAGTCTTTTGCCTTAATCACCACAGCAAACTGGCTCTGACTGAAGTGCTTTGGGCCCCCGAAATTTGCATCTGCCAAAAAATTATACAACATCTTGATTTACTCATTTATAGACTCTGAAAGCAGAGGCTCAAAACATGGTTTAATTTTCTAGATCCAAAGGACTCCTTTATAGATTTCTTCATTTTCCTATTAATAGTAAAGTTTGAGGAAGGCTAGAGCAAAATTAATTACTGTATAGTTCTTCACACTGGCTTTGCCATCCACAGTTCTTCAAAATCCCTTAATTCTCCCATTTCCTTTGCAATTATTAGATTAGGATCAATCCACTGCCTAATCTGGAATGGCTACAGTACTATTATTGGCATATCTATAATGGACACAGCAAAAGAATTTCTTCCAGCCACAATTTATAAGACTACATGGAAAGTTTCAGATACTGGTACTCCAGGAAACATATTCCTGTGTCAGTTGATTTTAAACAGCCATTTTTTAAAAAGTAACAAATATCTTATCCTTTAAACCTATCTTTGATTTTTCCCAAAACCAGGCAAATATTCCATCAGACTACATATTCTACGCTGAAGCTTCTTCTAAATGGACAATAGTAGCAAAGAAATTCTAAATCTGAAATTAGTACTGACTTCTTTGTGTGGCTTCTGTTTCTGTATGTTTTTTGAATTTAGGATTTTGAAACCATTTATTGTTCACTTCCTAGAGCTTTTAGAAGCAGGTGGCATGTAAGTATAGTTCATAAATAAATAAACGTTTGTAAATGTTCCTTATGGCCACCCAATTTGAACTTTAGCAGCCATAGAAACATGGGTTTTAAAACTCAGGAAGCTCTATTTCAAATACCCAGAATCTGAATTGACAGCAAATAGTTTTGTATTTTTCAAAATAACTCAGTTATGCTAACAATATAGCTCCTCTTCCAAAAAGTAGCAGAGGTTTTTTCAGGTTTCAGGAATACATTCTATATTTGATCTACCATAAGCTTTCATACACGATTATGGCATAAATCAGTTATATTCTGATCACTAAACACTATCCAAGATATATTACAGACCATCAAGATGGATTCACTCAACACATTAAACACATTACTCAAACTTCTTTTGTGAAACAAGTCTAGAAATCCTGGTCTCCTTTAGCACGACCTTCTGAAGTACCACCTTAGCCAAAGAGCTGAAAGCCTGCACACCATAAGAAAGCCAAAAGCTGCCCAAGCCCTCTTGAATCATTGCATTTTCCTCTGGAGCAATAACCAGGTCCACAGCAATGTTCATAAATACATCACTAATAAACTGGAAAGTCTAAGCTTTCACACTTACATGTTTCTATAAAAGAGGCCAATATTAGGCAAGCTGCTTCATTAGGGTCAATTAGCCATTTCCATCCTATGGGAACCTTAGCTTACGTATCTCCAATATTTGGATGTATCCAAATACCAAGTAATGAACAGAACACAGATAATTTACCATTCCTTCTAGAATGGTACGAAGAAAGCATTGAAGGCAGGGGTGAGTTCCTTCCAGTTCTAACCTCTTCTATAAGTCTTAAAGCTGTCAAGTTTGAACACCCCTGGATTTTTTTTTCTAAAGGGTTAGGGGTGCGAGGGTTTTGTAACTTGACAGCTTTAAGACTTCCGTGCTTCAAATACCAGAGTTTCTGAGCCAACATTTTGGTTGCTAAGCAAGAGCGTTAAGTGAATTTCACCACATTTTACAAGTTGGCCATGCCACCCAATCACATGGCTGGCAAGCCACTGCCACCCAGTCACATGGCTGGCAAGCCACTGCCACCCAGTCACATGGCTGGCAAGCCACTCCCACAAAGCAGGCCAAACCTACAGGAGAGGTTCTAACAAATTTTGAAACCTGATTGAAGGCTATACTCTCTGAGACTAACATTAATTCAAACCCACCATTTGGGAATGAGTAAAGTATCTCTTCACACTTCTTTGTTCTATGGCTTCCTTGAAAGTCTCTTCAAAGCTTGGTTATGAATAAAAACTGAAAGGAGTATGAGGAGAGCTAACACAGTACTGATCTTTAATTTAGCCACATGATTCCCTACATTCTTGGGCAGCAGAATTTAATTTGTACTTAAATTGTTTCCTCCACATCAAACCCTAAGGAATCTTCGGTAAGTGACTAATATCTGGCATGTTTTTCTTAGAAATACTTAGTATTTCACAAAAACAAATCAACTCAGAATAAATATAGATCACCAAGCAACTGCAAAATTGTGTGTGTGCAGGAGAGGGAGAGAGAGCAAGAAGAGGGTAAATGTTGAGATATGTTAATTGCCTAGTTAGAGGAGACTATTTTTAATACCATAACTGTGCTAAGTGCTTCATTTGCGACAGAAATGTTTGCTTGATATATCAATTCAAAAGCTGAGCCAGACAGTTATTGAGTGCCCTGTGCTATCAGACCTGTTCCTCGCTTGTTTTGGAGTTTTCTTCCTGCTAGAGAGGAAGAGAATAATTACAATTGCATGTTGGCCTATTCTATATCCTAACCCAGTTTTTCATATGAGTAAGTCTCTTCCTCTCATATCATAAACTAATTAGAAATCTGTCTAAAAATACACCTAATGAAGCTTTGCAATGCGCGAGGTTTACCATTCCCATTTTGCTCCTTTAACACAAAGGCAAAAAAGAGCCGGGTTTTTTTGTGTCCCTATTTTCTTAGGCACACTAGTGAACTGCATGCCTTGCGCCTCTGAAGCAAAAAAATTCTTACCTGCCCGAGTGAGAGTCTTGTAAATGGGACACAGATACATCCCTGTGGTCGGAGCCTTGCGGTTGGGGATAGGGACTAACCAAAGGACAGCCATCTCTGTGTAGAGTTCCTTAGGCTTGGATTCCATTAGCTCAAATAATATAGGGTCCCATCGAGCCCCTTCTAGAAATAAGCCATGGATGTAACATCCCATCTCAGGACGCTCAGTGAGTTCACTCACAGATTCACTCAGTACCTTAATTGGGAAGGTAGAAATTGTATTGTAATTTATATTTTTAACACCTGCATTTTGAGTGATATGTGAATAGGTTCTTTGAGGTAGTTTTTGATAGTATCACTGACCTTGAAGTCAAAAGAGATGGTGTCTATAGATATCACGGATTTTCTAGCAAAGTTCTGTAATGTTCCTGTTAGAAAAGCTTGTGGGAAGAAGAAGCCGCTGATCCAGAAAACTGGTGGAATTCCTTTAGCAATCCATTTATGCAAGAAGTCAATGCGAAGAAGCAGGTCATTCACCCAGGAGGCTAAGGGCTTCAGAGACGGATATGCCTATGGCAGGACAAAAGGCAAAGCACTTTTTCAATAAACTGACCTTTAAGCAAGTGTGTTTCTCTCTCAATAGTTGAACATTTGCGGTTATGAGACAAGCAATAAAAATAACTCTGGAAGTGACATTTATCAAGATTGTTCTGCCTTGGTTTGTGCATGATATATAGTTTGATTTTGTGTGCCTTTAAAATATCCGATCAGCCACCACAGCTGGAAACTGGAATGAGAGCATTTTTATAGGATGACTTCATGAATACAGAAATTGCTGTACCTATGAAAACACTGCTTAGTATTTACCTTACTCTTCCACATCTCTGGGACAATGTTGTTGTACAGGCTGTTGGACATCAACTCCAGCTGGGAAGACATTACTACTAAGCCTTTAAGAGCTTTGAGCAGATCTTTTAGACTCTGTGCAATTACTTGTAGCAAACGGTTGTATCTGTTCAAAAGCAAGATAATTTCAAAGCAAATTATCTATTAATGTTAACTCCCAATGTACTTCATTGAAATTCTATGCATTTTCACATTCTTTTAAGATTCTCTGAACTTTTGTATAACTGTCACAGAATCAGAGCTATATGTGGGTAGGACACACAATAATCTCTGACAGCATTCAGTTGCAAATATATGCAGCTGTCCAGAGAAGCCAAATGGGTAGAAAACAAGTTTCAATCTATAGGTTCAGTTTCAGTTAACTACAGTACTGTGGTGCTTCCTAAGAGTTATATATTAGGGGAATATCGGGTCTCAGATCAGACTGTGTTGATATATGGCTACAAAAAATAATTCCTCCATACTATGGATCAATTCATAAAAATAGTCTGATTTTGGAAACCGTTCCAATTTATACTGCAATTTTCACCATCATCATCATTTTTCTACTATGTCAGATAACTGCTCAGTGAATATTTTGTGTAGGCAACATGAAGGGATTTTTTATTTCTTGAGCATTGAGTTCCATGACATGGGAACCAGAGGGAGCATCAGGCATAGCAACAGCAGCTCTACTACTTTTCCATATGCCTGGAGACTCAAAAGATGGAACCATGTTTTTTTCATTCTGAGCAAAGCAGAGAAAGTCTGCAGAGGGCACCAGTCAGAAATGGTGTAAAGAGTCATGTGTGCTCCATCACTGGAGGTTTTCAAGAAAAGATTAGACAACCATTTATACAGGATGGTATAAGGCCGTGATGGTAAACCTATGGCGCGTGTGCCACAGGTGGCACACAGAGCCCTGTCTGGGCACGTTTCCAGCCTCCGTAGGGCCTCTGGAGCCCGGGGGAGGCCATTTTCGCCCTCCCGGCCGCTCAAAGAAAGCCTCCTGAGCCTGGGGAGGGCAAAAACAACCCCTCCTCGTCGTGGTGCAGGAGGTCAAGTAGGCCACACTCAATATGGCCACGCCCACCGGGCAGAGAACTGGTTGCTAAATTGCATTATGGGTGGGCACACACATGCTCAATTTCGGCACACGAGGAACAAAAGATTAACCATCACTGGTATAAGGACTCCTGCTGTGGACTAGAAGACCTTGGAAGACGTTTCCAGCCCGATGATTCTATAATTCTTCTAGTAGTGTTAATTGACAATTTTATCCAAATACAGAAAGCTCAATGAATGCATGGACTGTACCTGATCACCTCCTGTGTCAGAACAGTGTTCATAGATTCCTCATACAACACAGGATATCTCAACAACACTTCGTGCAAATCAATGGGCTGAGGTACTTTCTGCAATATGTCATTTGAGGTCTCCTCTACAATCTAGACAACAGACAAAATTGTGGCAGAAAATGTCAGAGGAATCTCAGGGTTGGAAGGAAATGAGATTATCTAGATTACATTCAGAATTGCAACTGTGCTTTAGGGTCATATAACCTATCCCTCTTTTTCTTCCTTCAGTAGCAATGAGTTGATTTCTAGAATTTCAACCTAGAATTTGTATAGGTTTCTTAAAACATGGGATCCTACGACCAGGGGCTGCATTTCAAAGAAACAATAAATATTGACCACTAAAAAATTATGCAAGTCATGTTGAATAATTTCATTGCATAATTCTTTAGTCATGTCCAACAGCTGTTCCTGTCATACACCTCAGCTATCTGTCACTGGAAGCAGCGCTTTGCTTAAACTCTGGCTTCTGACACTACTCCGCATGTATGGCCTCTTACTTGTCAGTCCTCTCTTCCCAGCCTTACAAAACAAGTTTACAAACCTCCTCCCTGCTTTGTCCTCCTGCAGCTGAAGTCTTTGGCTGAAGCTGGATAATTGCAGCAAGCAGTGCGTAGGTCTCGTTCTGAGCAAAGGTGATGTTGGCATTGTCATGCAATCCAAAGATTTCTGGCATATCATTAAGGGGAAGGGTTTTGATGTACTGGATGTATCCCTTGGGGAAGGGGATGGAAGCAAGTCAAGATGGAAGGAGAAGAATGAATATTTTTAATAGACAAGGCGGAAAAGAAATAAGCTGCTCAGTGAGTGTGAGACCGTGGGTTTCCGGCACAGCTAATCAACCAAGATACGCACCTGAATGTGACATGAGGACACATGGTTAGGTTGGTCACCCTAGTTTTTAATTAAAATTTATACATTGGAAAGATGCATAACAACCATTTGGAAGCTTGGACAGACCAAAATCTTTCTGAACCTATAATTCAAACTATGTAGACTTAAAAGAACAAACTTAATTTTCTGCATAGTATTATAAAAAAGCTTTGCTCCAATTCAGCTGGACTCCTAGGATTTTTACAAACATCCATATAGATTCCCTTGGCAACCACATGGAAGGGGATTCTCTGTTATTTATTTATGGAACAAATAAGTTGCCCATCTCGCCTAGATTTCCAAGTGGGGAAGTCTGTGGGTTTGTTTGTTTTTTTAACTTCCAATCACCCCTTCAGTTCTAGGATTTCTCAGTAATTTTCTGTTCTATTATTGGGATCTGACTCTCTTTAGTCATTTGGGCTTAGACAAGGTCAGTTTGTCTATTTTTTTTTCTTTAACTTACATTGAGGTCATAAGAGGTATTTATCTGCTTGTAGATTCCAGATTCAGAGTAAGAAAACTCTGCATTTAGAACACTTGGATTATAGAAATCTTCCAGAATGTTCATAATGCAGCGTCTGTCCCAATCATCCGTCACTCTGCCTCCGTAATTAATTTCACCAGCAGTGTACTTCAAAACCTGCAAAGCACCAGAGCACAGAAAGCATTGATTGTAGTTATAGCCAACATTTTCAAACAAAAACCCCACCAGTTAATAATAAAATTCAATATACAGAAAATCAGGAGACCCTTTTTCTAGGCAGGTCTTACCAGACAGATTTTCTATATTTTTTGGGGGAAAAAATACTATTTACAAAGTTAAAGCATCATCATACACATATGTGCAGGTCAACTTTGCTGCACATTTCATCTACCTAGGACCTCTTCCAAAAAGGAAAATATGCCAGCCAGATTCCCACAATAGTTGAAAACTCAGAAGTCTCTTGCGGCGCCCGGTCGATTTGCTCAAATCACAATCAAATATCTCAAACGCTACTCTACCTCCGTGTTATAAAGCAGCTATTAGGCAGCCTGACTTTATATAATGTTGCTTAATAATCATTGTTTATTGCTATAGTCTACCTGAAAATTGCACATTTGGTTATAGCATTCATAATTATAATTATAGCTATTTCAAAGCCATCAACATTAAATTAAAGAGTTCTTGCATTTTCCAAGATCTAGTTCTCTAATCTCTGCTAAGGCTATCTGTGGTACTTCCCTGGTACAATGGTTGCAACATTTGCAGAAGTTTTTTTTTTTTAAATACTACTTTTCTTAATTTCCCCAAGCTACCCATTTTATTGCACTATTTTATTTATTTGTTTATTTTTTTACAAATTCACTGAGGCACTATTTAATCATTTTTGCTATCTCTTGAGGTAGAAAGAAAAGCATTATTCCATTAGGTAAGGAATAGCACCTGCATTCCGTATACAATTTTATTGCACCATTTCTTGATTTTATTAGCCTGAAATGCTACAAACCAAACATCTTAAGTAAGACAAATTAAAAAAATAATATATAGCTAAACAAGTTATGTTTCTGCAAAAGATCCAGCTGGATTCGGAAATAGGACAAACCTCTCGCTTCATAAATTCTCAGGCTTCTGCTTCATTCCACCCTTTGCAAGACTAGGGAGCCTACCTTGTAAGGGATTTCTTCATATTCATCCAGAAACATTTTCAGCTGGCTGATGCAAATGCGCAGATCTCCATCGGTGAACTCATACGGAATATTGAAACCCAGTGGGCCAAACTTTCTCCTTTCTAGTGCATTGCCATGGAACAGGCAAAGAGAAAGGAGCAAGGATTTGAATTCGCTAACCTGCAAAACACAACATCTCTTGTGATTCTAAAAGGCCACAACTAAAATGTTATGGTGCATGCATATGAACGTTTAGGTTGGTTGTTTTTTTTTAGTGCCTATTTCAGACTTTGTAGAATGAAAGGGTGAATGCCTTTTTCTGAACTCCATTCCAACCAAAGGAATATACTTCCATGAGAATAAACTGTTGACAAAGGAGAAATAGGGAAATAATAATAGGGAAAGGTTCGAATGAGAACAGGACCAAGAATTCCTCTGTATTCTATGTATTACTTCCACAACAGCAGATGCAAGGAACACTGAACCTGTTCTGAGCAAACCAAAGTTGTGAAAGGAAGAGAGCACTAAGGGAGCTTTTTTGGGAGGGGGGGAGGAGTCTAGGAGTAGGGAAGGGTAGGATTCCTTACTTTGATGCAGGAGTTCAAGAAGTCATTGCTCAGGCTACTGTAAGACTTCAGCAGGTTAGCTTTAACTCCCCGAGGGGGCTCAATGGTCATCTTGGATCCATTCTGGAGGATGGACACTGGAAACTTGTTACTTGGCAAACTGGTCAACCAAAGTCGGAAATCTCGGTGTACCTGAACCAGAAAAATGGATGCAGGACGTCAGTAACCTGAAACCAAACTTTTAGAAAGTAATTTTTCTACTGGAATCCAGTTTCTCTCTCATCAGAAAAAGCCCTTGTTGAACAGACATACAGAAATGTTTCTCTTTGGTGGGGAATAAAATAAGATATTCATCCTAAAGAATTTCTCCTATTTTAGAAAGCATGGAAAGGTCTAAAAATAGATTGGAATAGTTTTCCTAGCCTTCTAGGGCAGGGGTGTCAAACTTAAGGCCTGGGGGGCAGATACTGCCCATGGGGTATTTAGAACTGGTCTGTGGGACCACCATGGAAACAGTGAAGGACTGGCCTGTGGTGCTTCTGCCTGTGAAAATGCATTTGGGAGCCCCTTTTCACAGGGAGAGTGATTGGGCCACCACAAGCGCCCCCAACATGACTGACATTGAGCTGGCCATGCCCACCCTGGGCCCCGAGTTCAAACACAACTCTGTTGCAGCCCTCAATGAAATTGAGTTTGATACCCCTGTTCTAGGGATAGGTTTGGATATATTTTATTTTCTTACTGAAAATATACATTGGGTTAGCAACCAATGATTGAAGAAGAATATTTACTAACACTGTCCAACCTTTGGAAGAAAACAGTTTTTATTCTAGGAACAAGAAATGTAAATTCAGAGTTTCTGTGCCTAGGTCAGCAATAAGCAATCTTTCTACACTAGGCAAACACGCAGAGATAATAGAGTAGAAATTTCTGTTTCTTTCTCAGTAATAACGTCAGTTTAAATTGTCAAAATCTTTGAAATTTCTCTTATCCCTGCAAAAAAGCTGTTACAAATTTTGACATCAAATTAAAGTATGGGGGAGGACAGCAGTGAGCACAGGTATCTGCAGTCCTCCCCCTCCAGCCTTGAAGTGCGGGGCACAATCTTCCCAAATGAGGGGAAACTCATTTTCAATGCTGAAATATTAAAGAGAGACAGTTTAAGTCCATATGCATCTCACCTTATCAGGGTTAATGCCTTCAATGAGTCTCTCCAAAGAAGGCATCCAGCTTGGAGCCAAGTGGCAATTTTGAAAGAAGATCCACTTCCCACGTTCCATTGCACTGCGCATCATGGCTTCTGCTCGCGGTCCCTAAATAACAGAGATTGACATCTGAACAATGCACACGGCTTCCCGCCTTACACACCGTGACTTGTTCTTCACCATTGGAAGGATAAACGCATTCCTCCCACCCCCCAATTCTTTACAATTTTAAGTACAGTTTACTTTTTCCCTTTGTCTTTTAATGATTTAATATAAACATAAAAAGAATAAAAACAAAATCAATGACACAGAATATTACATCATCAGGTACAATTCGGGGGGCATGCTAATCTCCACATCTATGACTAGGAGAAGAAAATTCAACAAGAGGGGCTTTTTAGCTTTCAAAGATTTTGTGCAGTTACATTCATTAGAAACTGGGGGGGGGGGGAGCATAAAGTGTTGGCTAAAGGAAACTAAAATAGTTTTAGTCCAGGCACTAAATTGAACTGAAACCTACCAGTGCACAGTGTGGTGTTTTACAATAGATAGGAAAGATTTTTGGTGCCCAAAATCGTTTCAGAATAATAATAACAAACTATCCTCTGTATTCTAAATTAAGCTGTGGTATCAGAGAATGATTAGCTATACATCAAGTTATTTTTGGAGAATGTATCAAATTGGCCTGAACTACAGCAAAAGTATAGGCGTTCCTTGATTTATGACAATTCATTTAGTAAGTGTTCGAAATTACAGCGGCACTGAAAAAAGGTGCCTTGTGACTGTTTTTCACACTTATCCCCAATGGTCATGTGATTAAAATTCAGACACTTGGCAACTGACGCATATTTGTGAGGGTTGCAGTGTCCTGGGGTCATGTGATCCTCTTTTAAGACCTTCCGACAAGCAAAGTCAATTGAACAATTGTGTGACCAACTTAACACCTGCAATGGTTCACTTGACAACTTTGTGTAAAGTGGTGTAGGGCAGTAGTCTCCAACCTTGGCAACTTTAAGACGTGTGGACTTCAACTCCCAGAGTTCCTCAGCCGGTTTTGCTGGAAGATGAGCTCTGGAAGTTAAAGTCCACACGTCTTAAAGTTGCCAAGGTTGGAGACTACTGCCCTACACCACTTTACACAAAGTTGTCAAGTGAACCATTGCAGGTGTTAAGTTGGTCACACAATTGTGCAATTGACTTTGCTTGTCGGAAGGTCTTAAAAGAGGATCACATGCCCCCAGGACACTGCAACCCTCACAAATATGCGTCAGTTGCCAAGTGTCTGA